TGTATTGCAAATAATTGAATTCTGTGTTTTGTATTGAATTCAGTTAATTCTCTTTAAAATGATATATACAAGTTCGCATTATGTGAAACGTAACGTTTTCTATAAGCATGCAAAGTTCAAAAACATAATTTTCCAAAAGTGTTCACAATTTTGGCCACCACTGTACATAATTAAGTCCACAACCTTCTTAATCAGATGTGTGGTGTTCCTATGGTAAGATTTTGCTATGAAATAACCAATGGTAAGATTTTGTAATTTCCTATGGTAAGATTTTGCTATGAAAATGAAATAACCAATAAGAGGAAATGCTGTGTTGCTATAAGAACAACATACGTACTTTCGGTTTTAAAATAATTACTCAGAACTGCAGAAGAGTGGCGAAATGACAAAACAGTTAAGTTTTCTCCTGGAAGTATTATTATGCTATGTTTAATAAAGTATATATTTTTATAAATGTGTCTTGCCTCACTATCAAATGTGGTGTTGCTATGGAAATGAAACAACCATTAAATGAAATGCTATGCTGCTATCGAAACAATACACGTACTTTCGGTTCTAAAAATAATTATTCAGAACTGCAGCAGACGGACGAAATGACGAAGTTTTCTCGTCGAAGTATATTATTATGTTATGTATAAGTTTATAAATGTGGCTTGCCTCACTATCAAACTTCCATAAGTGTCGCTAACCCGCTTTGCGAAATGAAAAACAAACTTCATAGACACTATGAAATGAAAAAATAAAAATGCTATAGATAAATGAAGCAAAGTCCATAACCTGCTTTGTCAAATATTTAAAAGAAAAATATTTTCATTTTTAAAAGACGATTCGCCGGCGCTAGTCCCGTGCATTGGTGGTGATACTTTCACTTATTCCAGTCGTGGCTGAGCGTTAATCAAGCGAATGAAGGGCTCATATCTGTTATCGCGACAAGCTAAGATATTAAAGGTTTCGTGATATCTTTCATTTGCTCTAATTTTAATGTAAGAGGCAGTCGCTAGGATTGAAATACTACCGTGCATGATGTCGAAGCACGAAGGTGTTAAATTCACATTCACCTGGATTATTGAAAATTTCAGCATGTGTCATCAGTCGATGGGGCAATTTTTTGACAGTCCATTATTTGCTTTTATTTCTTTACCTGGCATGGAATGGAGTATACGCTTATATCCAAATGGTAAGCTCAGTAATAATTCTATAGTTGTTTGTCTAGTAAGAGCTGATGATTTTTCTGAAGAATGTAGCGTCAAATTCAGCATGCAGATAGATTGTAATGAACAGGTGTTGTTTAGAGTAACTGATGTAACTAAAATCTTTAATGTTAAAACAGTATGGGAATCCGAAAACTTTCTTAAAAACGATTCCTTTCTCCTGTATTTGACAAATGACATTCTCGTCATAAAATGCACTTTGCAACCAATGTGTCAGCATAGTGAGGAAGACGTATTTCCGCCTCTTTCGTACGAAAACGGAATTTTCACAGACGTTGTATTACGAGCCGAAGATACATCCTTTAAAGTGCATAAAGCAGTTTTATGGGCAAGGTGGCCTAAACTGGCAGAAAAACTGGATGAAAAGGATACTAGTGAACAAGTTCTGGATATTCAACCGAATGTGTTGGCCGCTATCATTGAGTATATTTACACAGGAAGCATAAATTTCAGTCCATCTGAATCTTTAGAATTCTACCAGGCTACTGAGAAATATAAAATTCGCTGTCAAAATTCTTTACCTTTTATTGCTCAGAAAGTGAAAACCCGAATCAATGCAGAAAAAATATCATTTCAGTGGCCAATCGAAAATTTCTTCAGCCTACCTGGTAATACAGATTTATACAGCTATGTGTTTGCTGTCAGAAGTGTAAGTTCTTGTAAATGGAATTTAAAACTGCATATTTTGAGCTGTCAAGGAGTGTTCGAAATTTTCCTCTGTAAAGCAGACGACAATGAATGCCCACCGATTTTTGTGAGAAGCAAAGTATCTCTTCATGGAGTAACTGCTCATAATGAACACTTGTTCGAAATGGACAAAAATTGGAGACTTGCGCAAAAGTATAAAATAATGAGTAATTCAGTACTACTTGAGTGTGAATTTAAATTTTCGAACTGCCATTATTCTTCTGAAATTCTGGAATCTTCGTGCAAGTTTATTTCTTCTACAAAATGCCCTTATTATACCAGTAATTTTAGAAGTATGTATAAAAGCGGAAAATTGTCGGATGTTAATATAGTAGTCGGTTCAGATTATTTCCCCGCACACAAATTTATTCTGTGCGCACGATCCTCGGTATTTTCTAGAATGTTCCACTCTGAAATGAGTGAATCGACAAGCAGCAGTGTTGTGATATCTGATGTGGAACCTGATATAATGGATGAACTGCTTTTGTTTATGTATTCCGGAAAGCTAGAGAAACCCTTGGAAGAAACAGCAATGCTATTGTACTCAGCAGCTGATAAATATGACGTACCTGCTCTCAAGAAAATGTGCTCATTATTTCTGAAATTCAATTTCCACATCAGAAATATATGCAGCGTTCTGCAGTTAGCTGATATGCATTCCGATTCTGATCTATATCTTAGCGCATTACAGTTTTTTTCTATCCATGCTCGAGAAATTTTCTTAACCGATGAGTGGAAAGAGATCTCTGAAGATAGCTCGTGGGTTAAACATTTAGAAAATGTGATGTGTCTTAAAAATCACAGGAAATAATCGATATAAAATGTGACCAGATAACTAAATAGCTTTGCGACTGAAAAATATGCTATTTCATATTAATCATTGATATGTCGTGCATTTAACACAGTTTAGTACACTATCCTCTATTTAGCACAGTTTTATTAAAGAATCATGAAGTCAGAATAACTACGAAATCTTTATTTAACAAGTTAGAGAGTTTGCTTTAACTCAGATAGAACACAGAGTTAACAGTCTTTGCAAACATTTAAACATTAAAACATTTGAAACGTTGAAATATAGAACTTACAAGATACTTATTTTTAAGTTTTAAATATTTTCAGGCTAACCTGTTAGGCAATATTATGAGGAGTATATATTCCATAAAAGAAGGTAACATGCTGAAAAGAATGAAGCACAAATACAACGTTAAGCACAAAATCTTTAAGACTTCTTCATCTGAACATAAGTTAGAATCCTATCTCGCCAATATCGTCTGGAGCTCTCTTTTTTGTTTTCCTTTTTTTGACGTTGCCAAATTTCGTTATGTAAAAGTGACACTAATTTATTCTAACATTCACAAAATAGGTTATTTATGTGAGACTGCTTTTGTAAAATTTTCTTTTATATAATAATTGCACATTCTTAGCAATGAAAAAAAGTGAATAACTTATTCATTTATATGATTTAAAATATTATGCAAAATTATTGTTTGCTGTTTTGCCATTGCATTTTATAAATTCGTTATCTCCTATACTTAAAAACTTAAACGAAGGAAAAATTAAGTTGGAAAATCAAAATCTAAATTATACCTCTAACTGCTTTAGAACAGTGGCAAAATTAATTAATTTTGAAATGTAATCAAAGAAAATTATAGCATCATAATTCGAAACTTTGCCTTGATTATGTTTGAATTCTGATATTTGAATTTCCTTTGATTATGTTTTGAATTAAAATATTTGATTTTGTTTTGAATTTTATATTTGAATTTATTCTTCCCCTCTTTTTTTTTTTTTAATTGTAGTCCAAAGGGGAAGGGGTCCCTGAACGACTATTGTTTTCGTTTTGCGACTTTGCGTTGGTTCACTACAAATGTCCGTTTCACCTTTCAAACTGTTGCCATCAAATGTTAGAGTAATTAAATAATGAAAAATCTGCATAAATCTATGTATATCTCTCGCACTGTGATGAAACAACGGTACATAGAGCCATCGAATTTTGAATAACGTAATCCAACGCCGAATATGGACATGTGGAAGTTCAAATTTGGAATTTGTTTTTTTATCTATTTCATATTTTGTAAAACCTTAACGAATTTTTGGTTAAAACTCAAGGATTTCAAAGCAAGAAATGGCAACATTGTACAGAAAAAACATTTTTATCTCCAGCGCGCGAGACTCTGTATCGGAAATTCTAAAGATATGCTCGTTTTAAAATTATTTTGCGATATTGCTCTGAACTGAATTTATGGTTTTGTGCGAAGAACATGATATTTAATAAAGAAAGGTAAAAACAAAATGTTAAAAAAAAAAGCCCCTTTGGACGTAATTAAAATCTAAAACCTTCAGATTTTTTTTTTTTTTTTTAATTCTTATTCTATTAATTTTTAGAGTAGTAGTTTGCTTTTCTAGTTTTTGTGCTATTATTACTCTGTTACTTTTTATAGAAGTTTTTTGCTTTAGCAATTTTTATTTTTCTGCATATGATTATTCCAAACTGATTATGATATTTAATTTCCGTCAATTATGTTTTCAATTATAATATTTGATTTGGCTTTGATTATGTTGAAATTTATTTTTTTATAATTAATTTTTTTATTTCTGCTAATACCTTATTCTGTTATTCTTTTTATATTATATATTTTATTATCATTTCGTTATTCCAAAATTGAGCATGATATTTGAATTTGCTTTGATTATGTTTTGAATTGAATAAATGTGTTAATATTTTAATTCAGTACTTTATAACTTATAGCTAATTATTTATATTAACACGCATTTTTTGAATTTTAGCCAAAGCCCTCGAAAGTATATAATATGCAAATATTGATGAAACAAATTTTCGCAGTCTCCTTTTACGTGTTTATAATAAAAAAATTTTTCATCCCTGTTAACATGTAACTTAACACTCTTGTTTTAAGAGATTATAAAAATTCTATTGTCATTCCCTTCTTTCCATCAATTAGCTATAAAGTTGCACATATTTTGCAGAAATTTAACTTTCGGGTTGTTTATTCTCCCATCAATAAAATTCCGAGTTCCATACTTAAGGACCCCATTCCGGATATGAATTCCTGGGGTATTTATAGGATTCCTTGCCAGTGTGGTTTAATTTACATTGGCCAAACTAAGAGAGCCTTAAAATTTCGCGTCAAGGAACATGAGGCATATGTTAGAAAAAAGGAAACACAGAAGTCTTCTGTTGCCAACATTGTTGGTCCGAAAATCACACTTTCAATTTTTCTGCTGCCAAAATTATTCAAAAAACATCTTCCATTGGGAAACTGGATTTTCTAGAGGCATTTCACATTCAAAAAAATCTTTCTGTTCTAGTTAACAACCCTAATTCCAATTCAACTTTGCCTTCGGCCTTTAAAGAAATTATGTTTTAGTTCTGGTTTCACCAAACAGATGGCGCCACTTGCTTATTTTCTGTCTCCAGGCTTTCTTATCTTATCTAATCATTATTTCCTATCTTGTTCATTTGCGGTTTTGCAGCTGAGGATGGTGGTTCGGTAAAACCACCGAAACTAGTCCTGTGAAAATTTGAAAATATAAACGCTGATTTTGTTGTTTGACTTCTGAAATAGAAATATATATTTATTATTATTATTTATTTGTTATTTGAAAGGAATACTTCTTTATCTATTGTAAGCTTTATTAAATTTCGTTGCATAAATTTATTGGGTAGAAGATAATTTCAGTAACTGATAAAAGTAGAAGACAACTTGGAATTTATTGTTGCAACGAAATATTTAAAAAAATTTCCAAAGCCAGCAATATACGGATAAGGTTTGCACACGCATTTCTGAAAGAAGAAATGTTCTTCCTTAGTGGAATAATTTAGTACTTGCGAAGCATTTTGCATACATTTTTGAAGAGCATATGTTATACAGTTTGATCTCTTATTCGTAAGTTGTTTCAAAAAGTAAAATTAAGAGATCAGGGTTCGTACACATTTCTGCACATGGAAATTAAGTACTTTTAAGGACCATTAATGAAAAAAATTAAGGACCTATGAGCAAATTAATAAATTCAATTAAAAATATTATGCCTGAACTTTTTTGTAATACATCCAAAAATAAAATAGATCCCTAAGTAGGATGCATATTATTAAACATAAAACATAATTATTAGTAAGTTTGAGTATAATATACTTTATGAAATTTATTAAACAGCATTAAATATTTACATTATAATACTTCAGCATATTTGAAAGAAAGTAAGTGACATTTTATTTACGTTTTACTAATAGTTATAGTTTCATGTCGGAATTTTTTTTTTTTTTTAAATGTCTTATTACTTGCTCAATCTAGAGGTTTAGTAAATAGCCAGGTAGATTTTATGTCAAGGGTCATAGGTTAAAATGAGAAGTAAAATCATAATAAGACTGGCTGTTGTCACCGCTTCGTCTTGCCTAAAGAAAGACCTGCAGACCAGAACAAAACTGAGAGGCCTGATGTGGGCACGGTTAGCTAGTTTTTAAAGTTAGTTGGGCTCTGTCTGTTGCAGTTAGTGTCGTAGCTCCGTGTAGAGTTCCAGGAATCAAAACTCAGTTAATATACTTTAAGGTGTCGTAGCTCCGTGTAGAGTTCCAGGGAATGTAATCCAGTTAACATACTTTAAGGTTCCAATAAGCCACTAAAGCACCAGAGGTGACACTAAGCTGCTTTGTATTATTTTAGTCCACTAGATACGAAGAATAAGTTTACATGAATTTTTACATTTTTGTGTTTACCTTGTACCACGCTAAGAAATAATGAAAGGCAATAACTCACTTTAATATGCACAGATAATTTTTAAGGGTAAGCAGTTAGTTATAAATTGAATTAGATAGTTTAACCTTAGTCATTATGGATTTACATGACCACTATTAAATTTTACCTATTTTTTTAACAATACTGTTAAAAGTCCCTATTAAAATCACAATCTAATAAAATTTCTTTAAACACTTTAAAATACATGCAATTTATGTCATTGATTCTTCAACGATATTAGGATAATTATACATTAAAAGCTACAAAACATTTATGTTTTATAGCAACAACACACAACAAAATATTTATGCTTCTTTTTAATTTGAAGCCTGTCCAGACATTTTGGCTAATTTATATCGATTTCCCTCTCTTTAAGCATCTTTACTAAGAATTAGAAATTTCTCTCAATATGCAAACCAATGTTCTCATTAGTTTCTGCGTGGTTTATCTCCTAAATTGTCAACCTCTCCACAATGTATCTATGAGGGTTTACTTGATCTGGTAAAAGTTAAATAGTCCAAAAACTCCCGACAGACGTGAAGCAAATTATCGCTATGTCTCAAAGTAACTACAAAGTCAGAAATAAGTAAGCCTCTTATTTAAAAAGAACTTAGGTATGTTCTTATGCTAACTAAATCAATTAAAGTTTGGTGTGATGTAGTTAAACAAGAACAATCAAATTCAAACAAAAAAAATGTGGACTAGTGGTCAAAGAATACACAATTTAATTTTAAGCTGGCTCAGTTCATGACAATTTTAAATGTCGGCAGCAGTAATCAAAGACGAATAATTACAAATTATCAGAGCCGGCAGGAACTAATGCAAGGAGCAAGTAGAGGTCAGAAACACACTCCTACACTCCAAACACCTCAGTTTAAAAAATGTCCAGGTGATTCCCATTCTGGGAAAAAAATGCAAATGGGAAATTATAGTAAAAGCTGAAATTGTAAACAACTGAGTAATTTACATAATAATAACTGTACATATCTTTGAAGAATAATTTTGTATATTCAGTTTCTTTTGTCTACATTTTCTTTTCATTTCAGAATTTTGGAATTTAATTAAATATTTCTGTTATTCTAAAAAAACTAAATGCATTTAAAATGTGCAGAAAAAGCTGCTAATTTTATTTTTTAGTAATATTAGATAGTTATTCACAAGAGATATGAAATATATATAGTAAGGGCCGGTTACAGAGCTGGTGTGGCATAATTTTTAGAATTTAGTGACATACCCAGCAACAAAATGTAGAAATGGCAAAACCTTTAGAATTTAGAGCAGACACTGGAAGCAGAATTTAAAAAGGCACTAGTCAGCAAAACTTATGATCTCCACAGAGAGGTTTAATATTCCACGTGATTGCACTAGGTGGGAAAATGACTAGCGTCAGACCAGTGTATGATGCATTAAGACATATTAGATGAATCTTCTTAAATTGCCAGTTTTCAACTTCTTTATTAATCAAAAAATTCCTTTCTATAATGCCTGTCCATGTGATAGATTAGAAGCATTTTTAATATTTTCCATACTTGTGTCTAGTGAAAAGTAGAGAAAATAAAGGAAAGATAAGCATGTTAAGAAAAAGATTCTACTATCAGAAGTAAAACATTCAAATATTATGTTTTCATTGTTCTTCCAGATGTTATCCAAAAAGTAAGAAATTCATTGCAAACTTTCTTTGCAATTTTTGAGGAAAAGTAGAACTTTGATGAGGCTTAGGGAAGACAACAACTGCATGTTTCCATACTTTTGGGAAGTCAGAGAGCTTGATAACTGAGTTAATTATTTTAGTTAAGTACGTAATTGCAATAATTAGAAGATGCTTGAGTGCTTTGGGAGAAATGCCATCACATCCAGTAGCTTTTTTAGTTTTTATTTAAAGAGCTAATAAAATCCGCAACAATTCTCGGAAGAAGCAGAGAAAAGGGAAATTAGGTGGTCCAGGGCTATTAAGGAAAGAAATATACCTGTGCTATTGACTTTGGTGATATGATCATTATCATATGGGGAAGCATTGGGAGTAAAGGTATCTTCTAGAATGTCAGCGAAAGTATTGGCTTTATCTTCATCAGAATAAACAAGTCCATTGGAACCATGAAGTGGAGGAATCTGCTTGAAAGGCTTTTTGAATTTACGAGCAATGTCATAGAGGGAATTGTCCTCAGTAGCAAGAGTGTTTAAGAAGTTGCTCCATCGT